AGAGAGAGATAGGTAGAGTAAGAAAGAGAACCATAGAGAAATAGTATTAAAAATATGGGGAGTGGGTTTGCAATGATCGATACAGTAATGACAATACAATAGAATGTTATTGTTCAATTATTTTTTTATTGAAACGTTACTTTTGTGGTTCCTCATGAGGTATAATATAAGAAATGGACCATCTTGTTTGAACTATCTACGCCAAAGACAGAAGTTGTAATAATGAGTCAAAAGACTGAGACTGGCATGATACGATTGTAACAATACATGGAAAATAACAGTTTTTTTCATATTATATACTATAATATTATTATGTCCTACCCGGCGCTGGTGGTATTGTCTGTGCGGCTAACATATTATTATCCTGCTATGTGGGTTTATAACCTTATTTTTTATTTTCTTACTTACTCTCTCCCTACATTGTCTTGCGTTTCTGTCCATGGCCAACTTTGTATCCCCGGATGTTAAAAAACATATAACATTGTACAGGCTTAAGAGTTTTTAAACACTTTAAGATTATTTGAAAGGCGGTACCTCCAAATTTACCACCCCTATCTGATTGGAAAAAGTCAAAAAGTGGATGAACCTATAAAGACCAACCCAAGTTAAGGTCACCCTGCTGAGGATTCGAACAGGGGCCTTCTGCTTTGTAGTTCAGCATTTTACCAACTGAGCTGAACGAGCACGCAGCCCCCACCCCCTCCTTTTCCAGTGTTTTTTATGCATCCTTCAGAATATGAAAAATGGACATGAAGAGAAGCTGTTTCTATAACAACCCAAGTTGAGTTGCAGGGCAAGCAATGTGTAAGGTTCCATAGGTTAGTTACTACAGACCCCATAGGAGTTTGCTAACGTTCGGCTGCTTTCTACACTCAATAGTGTGTGTGTGTGAGTGTATGTGTATTGGTAATGTTTGCTTTTGTGCTTTGGAGACACAATCACAAAGAGACAAAGCCGCAAATTCCAACATATACACAAACACATACACTCACACACACACACACACACA